TGGGCACAGTATCAACTGTGAGCCTGACACAGAAGCTGGCAGCAGTGGCAGACAACTGATCAGCATTAATCTTATAACAGTGAAAAGTTTTTTGTTTTAAATCCAAGTTTGTGACACCAGATCTAATTGGTGGCACTGACTGGGAAATGGGCACCAGTATGCACTGTGAGCCTGACACAGAAGCTGGCAGCAGTGGCAGACAACTGACTGCTATTCAATCTATAACAGTGAAAAAAGTTTTTTGTTTTTAAATCCAAGCTATTGTGACACCAGATGTAATTGGTGGCACTGACTGGGGAAATGGGCACAGTATGCACTGTGAGCCTGACACAGAAGCTGGCAGCAGTGGCAGACAACTGACTGCTATTCAATCTATAACAGTGAAAAAAGTTTTTTGTTTTTAAATCCAAGCTATTGTGACACCAGATGTAATTGGTGGCACTGACTGGGGAAATGGGCACTGTGAGCCTGACACAGAAGCTGGCAGCAGTGGCAGACAACTAAGTGCATTTACATTACATAGAAAAAAAAAATCCAAAAAAAGCATACCCTTATCCCTAACCTAGCTATGCTTTTCCCTATCTTATGAACAGCAGCTACACTTTCCCTCCTCTTACTAAGCATGCAGCTTGAGAATGAATCTAAAATGGATGCTGTCCAGTAGGTGGGAGGGTCTGCTAGGGAGGCTGTGCTGCTAATTGGCTGGAATGTGTCTGCTGACTGTGAGGTACAGGGTCAAAGTTTACTCAATGATGACGAATAGGGGGCGGGTCGAACCGCGCATATGTTCGCCCGCCGTGGCGAACGCGAACATGCTATGTTCGCCAGGAACCGTTCGCCAGCGAACCGTTCGGTACATCACTAATGCTTAGTTGTTTTTAAAATGTTATATGAAATATTTTGCAAACGGCATTACAGTGCTGTTCAGACAATGCAAAGCTGGGGCAAAGATTGCAAATGAAGAGGATAAATGGAAACCTTGTTGATGCTGACTGCCAGATGCAAAAATTGTATCTTCTAACAATGACTGGCAGGAAGCTAAGATGGTTTATATAATTTATTTATACATATTTGTTCAAGATAGAAATAAGTCAACATAATAGTGTAAAACCTGGTAAATGTCAGTGCCACTTTAAAGATGATAATGCTTCCTATATCTATGTGGGGTTTTACATTTCTTTGGTGTTTGCCCATACACAAGTGGTAGTGAGTGCACCCAAAAGCTTGCTTCATCCCTATTATGTGACCCACTTACCCTCATTCTCTTTTTACCCTATATTGCACTTTTCTGTTGACTCTCATCAGTATGTTTTTTTTAAGTCTTGTTTATTTTTTTCTAATATTTTTTTGTGTGTGTTTTTGTCTGTATGGAGTGAGTTGTTATGAACTGAAAAAGAGTGAAGACAAAAGTAGAATGGTTTGAAAAAAATGCCTCTTCTCCAAGACAGACTAGGGTAAAACACATAAAAGAAAATATAGTTTAATAAATTACACAGGTTGGAAAATATATAGTAGGAGGGATACAGGAAATAAAAGACAAGGGATACCCAAATAGAATGAGGGAGGTAATTAGAAAAAAGAGACAGAGTGGGAAGACACTTAGGAAAAATCAATTAGAGACTTGATAACATTAAACTGATGAAATAAAAACAGAACAATCCCTTTGTTGGAGGTATTAAAAGTTAGGAAGAAAAGACAGATTAGGGAAACACTCAGAAAACAAAATGCACACTATGGAGATGTGCTTAGGGAAACAGACATACTGGGAAGCACTTTAAAAAAGGCAGAGGAGACCCAAAACCAGAAGGATTGCGTCTTTTTCTCTTTGGGAAAAGAGGCAATGCAGCCAAATATGTAGGGAAGACCGGCATAGTGGAAAGACATTAGGGAAATAAAAGTAACAGATATTTAAATACACTTTAGCTCACTTAGCAATGCACTAGTTAATTTGTCTCCCACATTGGAATTAGTGTAGGACCCACCAATATTGGGGTATTAGGAAGTAGTGGTGGGCTTAACACAATATAGCCATATGGTGGAACTGTATTCACATTTTTTTGCTATAAAAGGTGATTTTAAGTAGCCTTATAAAATTTAAGACTGTATATTTATGTGTGCGCTGTTCCTTAGTCTTTGTAATGTATATATTTTGATCTCTACGGCAGCCTATTGCTACAAAATGCATGTTCCAGGTGTGCCCTCAATTCCCCTTTTTTATTTACCATTTAGAGAAAGAAAGACCAGGGTAACCTTGAGTAGGAAAAAAGGCTTCCGAGATATATAAAAAATACAGACTAAGGAGCAGAGAAATAGATGACAAGTAAGGAATAACCAGCAACATGGGAAATATAAAGAATATAAAGAAACTTTATTTACTCAGATTGTAGACTTTGAGATTAATTTCGAATCAAACGCCAAGCCAGCCAAAATTGGGTCAGTTGGGTGAGCAAAAGAATTTCAGCTTTTCAAACCGCCACATGGCAGAATCTTAGGGGAACTGATTTGAGTGAGCCCAAACATACTCGTTTTCATTCATGGTTCATTCCTGAGGTCAGAAAAAAAGGAGATGGATTAAAGAAGTGGCTGTTTGTTGAGTGAAGGCAAATAAGCAGCTCAGTTTCCCATGATAGACAAGAGTCTGCCCAATCATGTGGTCTCAATTTTCTGTCCAATCAAGAGGTAGCAAAAAAAAGAAAGATGAATAATGGTTACAGGATAGACACTTAGTGGTAAATGTTGACTATATTCACAGATTAAGGGAAGTGACTAAAATAGAGGGGGGGAAAAGAGGAAGACAGACTGAGGGAGACAGGCCAGCAGTGATTACATAGTTACGCAGCTGAAAATAGACTTGCGTCCATCAAGTTCAGCCTTCCTCACATATGTTTTTGCTGTTGATCCAAAAGAAGGCAAAAAAAAACATTCTGAAGCACTTCAAATTTTGCAGCAAACTAGGAAAAAAAACCTTCTTGACCTCAAAATAGCAGTCAGATATCTCCTTGGATCAAGCAGCTATTACCTCACTAATTAGATATTATATCCCTGTATGTTATGTTATGTTGGAAGTATTTATCCAATTGCTGTTTAAACATCTGTATGGACTCTGATAAAACCACCTCTAAAGGCAGAGAATTCCATATCCTTATAGTTCTTACTGTACAAAAAACTTTTCTTTCGATTAGATTAAATCTCCTTTCTTTCAGCCTAAATGCGTGACCTTGTGTCCTATGCAGGGGCGGACTGACCACTCGGGCACTTCGGTCATGGACCGAGGGCCCGAGGCAGTCAGGGGCCCGGCCGCACAGCCATGCTCCAGCTGGAGAGATCAGATCAGAGATCTCTCTAACTGGAATGAAAAAAAAATTTAAATTATTTAATTGATAGGTTGGGGGGCCCCTGATGCAGCGCGGGGCCCCACAACCTACCGCTCTATAAATTTACCCCCCCTTCCCTCCTCCCATGAGACCTGGCAGCTTCACCTCCTCTCTGCCAGGTCTCCTTCTCCCTGTCCTGCACGGTGCTCTGTGTGATAGGAGAGGGGGCCAGGAAGTGACATCACTTCCTGTTTACTCCTCTCACACAGAGCCCAGCGTGGGGAAGGAGCTGCAGCCTGGGAGACCACAAGGAGCAGAGTGACAGGTAGGCTCTAGTCACCCCTCCCCCCCCCTCACTGTTACTAGTCACCCCCCCTCACTGTTACTAGTCACCCCCCCTCACTGTCACTAGTCACCTCCCCTCACTGTCACTAGTCACCCCACCCAGTCATCACTAATCACCCCCCCTCACTGTCACTAATCACCCCCCCCCACTGTCACTAGTCACCCCCCCACTGGGGTGTGACTAGTGACAGAGAGAGGGAGGGGGTGACTAGTGACAGAGTGAGGGAGGGAAGGGGTGACTAGTGACAGAGTGAGGGAGGTGGTGATTAGTGACAGAGGGAGGGATTGGGTGACTAGTGATAGTCACCACCTCCTTCACTCTGTCACTGTGTCACCCCCTTCCTCACTCTGTCACTAGTCACCCCTTCCTTCCCTCACTCTGCCACTAGTCACCCCTTCCCTCACTCTGTCACCTGTCAACCCCTCACTCTGTCACTAGTCACCCCCTCACTCTAATGACAGAGTGAGGGAGGGTGTGACTAGTGACAGTGAGGAAGGGGGTAACTAGTGACAGAGGGAGGAGTGACTAGGGACAAAGTGAGGGAGGTGGTGACAGTCACCACCTCCCTCACTCTGTCACCAGTCATCCCCTAGTCATCCCCTCACTCTGCCACTAGTCACCCCTTCCCTCACTCTGTCACCGGTCACCCCCTCACTCTAGTGACAGAGTGAGGGACGGTGTGACTAGTGACAGAGAGAGGGAGGGGGTGACTAGTGACAGTGACCACCTCCTTCACTCTGTTATTGTGTCACCCCCTCCCTCACTCTGTCATTGTGTCACCCCCTTCCTCACTCTGTCACTAGTCACCCACTCCCTCCCTCACTCTGTCACTAGTCACCCCCTCTCTCACTCTGTCACTAGTCATCCCCTTCCTTACTGTCACTAGTCCCACCCTCCCTCACTCTGTCACTAGAGTGAGGGGGTGACTAGTGACAAAGTGAGGGCGTGACAGGTGACAGAGGGAGGGGATGACTGGTGACCGAGTGAGGGAGGGGGTGACTAGTGACAGAGTAAGGGACGAAGGGGGTGACTAGTGACAGAAGGAGGGAGGTGGTGACTAGTGACAGTGAGGAAGGTGGTGACTAGTGACAGTCACCACCTCCCTCACTCTGTCACTAGTCACCCCCTCATTCTAGTGACAGAGTGAGGGAGGGGGTGACTAGTGACAGAGTTAGGGAGGGGGTGACTAGTGACAGAGTTAGGGAGGGAAGGGGTGACTAGTTACAGAGTGAGGAAGGGGATGACTAGTGACAGAGGGAGGGGTGACTAGGGACAGAGTGAGGGAGGTGGTGACTAGTGAAAGTCACCACCTCCCTCACTCTCACTGGTCACCCACTTCCTCCCTCCCTCTGTCACTGGTCACCCACTCCCTCCCTCACTCTGTCACCAGTCATCCCCTCACTCTGTCACTAGTAACCCCTTCCTTCCCTCACTCTGCCACTAGTCACCCCTTTCCTCACTCTGTCACCTGTCTCCCCCTCACTCTAGTGACAGAGTGAGGGAGGGTGTGACTAGTGACAGAATGAGGGAGGGGGTGACTAGTGACAGAGTGAGGGAGGGGGTGATTAGTGACAGAGTGAGGGATGGGGTGACTAGTGACAGTCACCACCTCCTTCACTCTGTCACTGTGTCACCCCTTTCCTCACTCTGTCACTAGTCACCCACTCCCTTCCTCACTCTGTCACTAGTCACCCCCTCTCTCTCTGTCACCAGTCATCCCTTCCTTCCCTCACTCTGCCACTAGTCATCCCCTCACTCTGTCACCAGTCACCCCTTCCTTCCTTCACAGTGACAGAGTTAGGGAGGGGGTGACTAGTGACAGAGTGAGGAAGGGGGTGACTAGGGACAGAGGGGGTGATTAGTGACAGAGTTAGGGAGGGAGGGAGTGACTAGTGACAGAGAGAGGGATGGGGTGACTAGTGACAGTCACCCCCTCCCTCCCTCTGTCACTAGTCATTCCCTCCCTCTGTCACTAGTCATTCCCTCCCTCTGTCACTAGTCATTCCCTCCCTCTGTCACCAGTTATCCCCTCACTTTGCCACTAGTCACCTCTTCCCTCCCTCACTTTGCCACTAGTCATCTCTTCCCTCCCTCCCCCACTCTGCCACTAGTCACCCATTCCCTAACTCTGTCACTAGTCACCCACTCCCTCACTCTGTCACCAGTCACCCCCACTCACTGTGTCTCCCCCTCACTCTGCCACCACTCAACCCCTCCTTCCCTCACTCTGCCACCAGGTACCCCCTCACTCTGCCACCTGTCACAACCTCCCACACTCTTCCACCTGTCACCTTCTCCCTCATACACTCTGTCACCTGTCACATATGCATTCACACAGACACTATATACAAAAAGCACATGTAGTCATCCAGACATGCACAAGTGCATTCACACAGACTCAAATACAAACATGCATTGATACACAGATCTTCACAATATACACATCCAAAGGAATGCCGTATTATGAGTTATATTTAACATTTATTTAATGCACGTATATTTGGCCTTCAAAGGGCCTGGGATCTAATTTTGCCCGGGGGCCCCAAAGGCTCTCAGTCCGCCCCTGGTCCTATGTATAGCCCTGTTTATGAATAGATTTCCAGATAATGGTTTGTACTGGCCCCGAATACATTTGTATAATGTAATCATATCCCCTCTGAGGCACGTTTTTTTCCAAACTAAAGAGATTTACATCTTTTATGATCCTGTAAGTTTACTCTTGCTGTACTTGTGTTGGACTGGGAGATATCCTGTGTCATTGGGAAAGAAAAGCCTATTTTTGTGACTGTGTTCAGTCCTGTGTGTGCTGTGCACCGATCAGTGTTAAAGTAGTGAATCCACAAAGCACTAACATATTTTGCAACACAATCATCTATTTTAGCTGAATAAAGTTGTTAGTTCACTAAATCTTTCCTATTGCAAATGTATTATAATAAGAAAAATAATAAGGAAAAAAAAAACACCATTATCAATCTGACATTCTACTCCAAAGCCAAAGTTGAAGAAGGGTAGGGGAAGAAATCCTGTTCTCCAATTCACCATCAGTAGTAGTGTGATGGCTTCTGAGAGTTAGAACATCTCTGCCATGAGGACACCTTCACCACTGCCACCTCCAACACCAACTCCATCACCACAGATATTAGAAGTATACAAGGCATTTGTTTTTCCCCAACCTTCTCATACTGTAACAATTTGTGCTGCTTCTTGCACTGACACTACAGCTAGTGTTAGAATTATACCTTCTTAGTGCCCTCCCCCTCCCCCAAAAAGTAACAAAAAATAAGCACACCACTAATTTGAGTCATCAGAGCCACTCTGTAGTCAGGACTTACAGAGAAGTACCAAAGTAGCGTCCCCTACGTACTTCCCTACACACTTATTATTTTACCTTTAATAGGACACACATTGTGTGCGCAGGAGCACTGTAACTTGGCAAAAGCAAATACAAACACACAAAATTAACTCCTGGGTGGCTGCAAAGATCCTGAGGAGTCAGGCAAGGCCTAGAACAAACAGGGACACATGAGAGTGTGGGGAGTGTATAGAACGAAATATTAAGGAGGTCTTAGAATGGTGTGTGGAGGTTTAGGGCAAAGGGATGTTCCCAATATAAATAGGAGCGCATTTTACAAGCTAAGCAGTCATCTTAATTACCCAGATTGGTAACAGCTTCCCGCCCTCACTGTGGTTGTTTGTAAATTGTTCTTGTTTGTTTGTCACAGAGTGGTGGTAAATGGCCCTTGCTAACCGGGGTTTTGACCAGCGGTCCGTAGAAAGATGTAGGGTCAGGGCTGATCGCTCCCCTAACCTCGGGTACTGCTGGTTTACTTCTGGGTCACATGTTACTTCCGTTACGTTTGTGTGCTGGTCCGGCGCCAATATGATATCACTTCCGGGTTAGTGCTGATCATGTCTCTCTACTGTAGCAAGTGCTTTAGCGTCCATATTATTAGTTGGCAATGTTGCCCATAATTGGGATAATGCAGAATAAAAGGTGTTCTGTGGATTTATAAACACTTGTATTAGGTACTGATAATTTGGCAAAAAAATTTTGGGGGCAAAACTGTTTTTTAGAATAGACCAATGTTACACAAGATAAGAAAATATAGATACACAGTATAATATTGACATTATAATATAATATCTATTTTATTTTTTAATATAAATTGATTTTTTAATATAAATTTTCTTTTTATAGAACTAAGGAATTTTTTGCAAATATTTTTAAAATTTCTTTTAAATGTTTTTAATAAGTAATTTTGGTTATTATATACACATTTCCATCTTGCTAAGTTTTAAAATATATATTGTCAATATTATACTATGTATCTATATTTTCTTATCTTGTGTAAGATTGGTAAAAACATTTTTTGCAAATTATCAGAACCTAATAGAAGTGTTTATAAGTCCACAGAACACCTTTTATTCTACATTATCCAAATTATGGGCAAAGTTGCCCACTAACAAATGGACGCTAAAGTACAGTAGAGAGACTACCAGTAGTGACCCGGAAGTAAACCGGCACACCGGATGGGGAATTAATTTCGGCAAAGTTGCCCACTAACAATATGGATGCTAAAGCACTTCCTACAGTAGAGAGACTACCGGAAGTGACACGTGACCCGCAAGTAAACCGGCGCATTAATTAATTTCGTCAATCAACAGAAACATAGAAGGATCATCAGCACCTATCAACATTGCACTGAGGAAGACTATAATGTCGAAATGTGTTTGTTGTTTTCTGTATGCTATATGCTGCTATTATTTAAGGACTTGCGGTAGTATATATTTATATTTTTGTTTTTACACACTGCTTATGCACATGTCCTTTTTTTTTTATATATATATTTTCTCTAATAAACGTCTTGGCAACTACTTCTTCCTGTCTAATTTCGCTTGTGGACTATAATCCGAGCCAGCATTGGCACCCTGAAGCTGATAATATAGAGCCTAGCATGGCTCTACACTTGTGAGTGCAACCATATATTTAGTTATTTTGCACTGTTATTTTATCAGGTTACACTATTTACTGTTTTATCTATTTCTTATAGACTCCCATATATTGTATCCCTACCATCATTGGGACATTCATTGTGTCATATACTGCTAAGTATATTATCCTCTACTTATCACAATGGGTGTTGTGTATATTCAATAGTGGTTTTTACTTCTATTTATTTATTGGTCTATATTTTAAGGTGATAGGGGAAACACCTTATTTATACACTCACTCACCACCCAAAAAAAACCTTGCGTCTAAACCCCTACTGGTACTCAGTATCTATTTTTTACATAAGTTCTAATTTTGTCTTGACTAGCAGTCTCTCTTCATTTGTACAACTTATGTGGCATGCTGTATATTATCACATATTGTGAGATTGGTTTTATGTTTATCCTTAATTCATATTGTAAATAATTTTGCTTTATGCTTTGATTACTATACCAGCTGAGCTAGATTTCCTTCTGATCATAGAAACACACTTTTCAGCCATTGTTATGGCTGGTTAAACTTACACCATTGATTAGAGCGAGTTTATGTGTACCCACCTCCTAGTAACCTGACCTGATGATGTCACATGCTGGGACACAACGTCTGACTCGTCACCCATGTTTGACGTCATCACACACTTCGTGATGAACCAGGAAGTGGTTGAAGCCTCCAAAGTGCAAACAGCTAATTTTGATCCTGTTTGAAATGTGGGTGGCGGGACTTGAATTAATGTGAGCACTTTATGTATATGTAATTGTATTCATGCTATAACTAAGCACATTAGCATTGACAAAGGGCCATAGCCTGAAACATTTGCAACCTGTCTGTTGTCCTTCAAATAAATGTGGTAGCACCTGGGTGTGCACTTTAAATACAGTTGTGCATTACTCCAATGTTTTCTTGTTTTGACTATTGCACTGGAGGAACTACAGTAGGAGTTATTGCTGCACGGTTTAACTGTGGTTATCTATTTGATTAAATCAGTGTAGGCAGACATACTGCCTCTACCGCATAATATATATATATATATATATATATATATATATATATATATATATATATATATAAAAAATGTCCAAATACTTGCACTCCTGTGATAGTAGGTTAGTGCCTGGTGCTGATAAGGCAAATAACATAAAAAATAAAGTAATAGGTAATAGCACTCCAAGGACTTCAAAAAGTATAAGGTGAAAAACTTAGCTTTTATTCAGCAGCTGCCACACAGAATCGACGTTTCAGTTCTAATACAGAACTTTCATCAGGATAAGGTGCATAACAAAAACCAACATTTATATAACAAACAAATAAATACATGATATACAGAACAGGTGAGGCTTACCCCAATCCCTGGGTGGTCCCCATGGTGACCGCCAAAAAACGCGGGCAAAATTGACCCCTATAAGTGTATTCAGCAGCTGGGATGTGCTGCTGTATGGTGGTAGCTGGAATCGACGGCTGTCTGTGTTGACATGTCGTCATAGTAACGAAACCGCTCGTGTAGAGATGGGCGGGGGCTCAAGTGGGCGGGGCTATGGTGCGATCGATGCTACGAGCTCAGTGCACGGAGGGCGGGCAGGGATCTGCTGTGGGGAGAGAACCCTTCTCTTCATTGTAGTGCCCTGCCGTCCAAGAGCTAAACTGACTGGCAGTATGATTACCTAGTCATGTGAACAGGGGCAGGGAGCCACCAACGTAATGGAGAAAGTGGATAGTAAATACATAAGGTCATATAAGGCAAGGCTGTG